CAGCAGGAAAGGCCAAGGGAAGAGAAAGATGCACAAGCAACATTTTTGGGTGTACAATGGTGCACCCAGGGCGGGTTGGCCATTAAACGTACAGGGAAACTTCCTGTTGGGTCATTGCCCTAAGGGCCCCCCGGTGGCCCGGAGCAGGCAAAGGCGATGCCCACGGACTCTGCCTGAGCCTCAGAGATGACCTGGCCCAGACCCCTCACCCACCACCAGAGCTGGCGTCAGCTCACCAGTGCTGCATCCAGTTGGGGGCAGGATGCAGTGGGTGATCAAATGCCCGTCGCTGGCCCTAGTGAGCCGAGCAGCCTTGCAGTGCGGGCCGCTCAGCTTGGCTTGCTCCGGGACAGTTTTCACTCCCCCAAAGCCAATCCTGGGTGCACCAAGTCTTTCTACTCCCCCCATCCCCTCCAGCACTCTTTATGCTCCCCGCCCAGCACTCTTTCAGTCTCCCAGTGTCAGCACGTTGCAGCCAGCTCTACAGCAAATGGGAAGGGGGGGGGGAGCCAACAAGCCATTTGCTCACCCTCATAATCTGGGTAAAGCATTACTCCGGCTGCAGAACACAGGCCCCTCTCCATCATAGGTGAGAAGAAGGAGAGTTGCTTTTATACCCTGCCCTTCATTATCGGAAGGAGTCTCAGAGCAGGTTAGGATCACCTTCCCTTCCTCTCCCCACAACAGACACCCTGTAAGGCGGGTGGGGCGCTGAGAGTTCTGAGAGAACTGTGACCAGTGTTCCCTTCTAAGCTGAGTTATTGTGAGCTAACTCACAGTTTCTTAGCCTCTAGCTCACACATTTAGGATGGCTCCAGAGCAGACTAATTTGTGCAGCAGCCTAATCGCTCGCTCACAACTTTAATGCCAGTAGCTCATAAAGCAGAATTTTTGCTCGCAAGACTCTACAGCTTAGAGGCAGCATTGACTGTGACTGACCCAAGGTCACCCAGCTGGCTTCATGTGGAGGAATGGGGAACCAAACCTGGTTCTCCAGATTGGAGTCCACCTCTCTTCACCACTACACCAAACTGGCTCTCAGTCTTGCCCCCTGGTTCTAGAGCAGAATGCCCTGTTGTTGTAAGCACTCTACTTTGCCCTGCAGCCACACACCCTTGGGGGCAGGAAACCCAGACAGCTCTCTTGGGGCTTCTGTGCCGTCACTGGAAGTGTTACGCCAGTTTGGTGTAGTGGTTAAGTGCGTGGACTCTAATCTGGGAGAACCGGGTTTGATTCCCCACTCCTCCACTCGCACCTGCTGGATGACCTTGGGCAAGCCGTAGTTCTGATAAGAGCTGTCCTTGAGAAAGAGCAGTTTCTGTCAGAGCTCTCTCAGCCCCACCTACCTCACAGGGTGTCTGTTGTGGGGAGGGGAAGGAGTTTGTAAGCCGCTCTGAGACTCCCTTGGGTAGTGAAGGGGGGCAGGGTATAAATCCAATCTCCTCCTCCTCCTAACCCACACACTTCTGTCATAGACTCAATCCATTGGGCTGTTTGCCACTGCAAAAACTTTGAGGAGTGGCTCCCCTTTGTTCTGGGTTGGAAACGCTTCTCAAAGCCCCCGAGGCCAGAGAGCTTCCAGGCATCAAGGAGGACAGAGCAGAGACCTACCCCATAGCAGAGGGGTTCAAGTGGTAGGCTAGAACATGGGAGATTCGGGTATGAATCAGCCAAACCTACCTCCCAGGAATACTGTTGTGAGGATAAATGGGAGGAGGGCAACCAAGAGGATTGGGTGGGGGAGGTTGGAGCACCTTCCCTAGGAGGAAAGGCTGAAGAGTCCGTGATTTTTCAACTGAGAAAAGAGACAACTAAGGGGAGATATGGCAGAGGTTTACAAAATTATGCATGGGGTGGAGACAACTGACAAAGAGAACTCTTTCTCCCTCTCCCAAAATATTGGAACTCAAGGGCACCCAATAAAGCTGATGGGCAGTCGGGTCAGGATGGACAAAACTACTTTACACGGAGAGTGATTAAAATGTGGAATTCGCTGCCAGAGGATGTAGTGATGGCCACAGGAATAAAGAGCTTTAAAAGGGGACTGGACAGATTCATGGAGGATAAGCCTATCAGTGGCTACTAGCCATGGTGGCTGAGGGGAACCTCCACATTCAGCGGCACTCATCCTCTGAATCCTAGAGCCAGGAGGCAGCATCAGGGGAAGGCCTCGGCCTCTCTGCCCTGTTGCTGGCCCTCCAGAGGAACTGGTTGGCCCCTGTGTGAGACAGGAGGCTGGACTAGATGGACCATTACTGGCCTGATCCAGCAGGGGTCTTGTATTCTTATGGGGAGATAGGAACGATGATGTAAACTGCTTTGGGTCCCCCTGCTGGGGAAAATAGTGGAGTCTAAACATCTGCGTAAATAAATGCATTCATGCCACAGAGTTGCCTCTGCCAGCATCAATACAGTCCCCCCCAAAAGAGCATACGGTCACTTATGGGTCTTTGGCCAGGAATGATACCCAACCAATTGCATGGAGATACTGAATCAGAATACTGGTCCATCTAGCTGAGCACCATCTACTCTGATTGGCAGTGGTGCTTTAAGGGTGCAGGACCTGAGATCCACTGGAGATGCCCGATACTGAGGTTGGAATCTTCTGCATAGAAAGCAGGTGTTTGAGACCAGCATCCCTTCCTGGAGATACCAGGATCCTGGCTGCCCCTATCCCCTCTGCAGCCCCATGCACCACAAGATTACGTCTGCAGCGCAGTGCTACCTTCGTCAGCCGGACATCTTTAGCCTTCTTCAGCCCCACGATGCCTCTGGACTCCAAGAGTGAGGACAGGGAGAGGCATTCTGACTGGTCAAGAGCTCCCACTTGCTGCTTCCGGCAAACCTTGCTGTACGCCTCGTGCAGCTAGAAGAAAGAACCATTCATAAAAACAAGAGCTATCAAGCGCCTGGACACACATTCTCACGTGTGTCCCTTGCAAATGCATAAGACAGCTTGCTCTCTCTGGTTTTGTCTGAGTGCCCCAAGGATTGCTCGATCCTGCATCTCGATGTAGAAGAAGAGATTGGATTTATACCCCATCCCCCTTCACTACCCAAAGGAGTCTCAGAGCGGCCTACAAACTCCTTTCCCTTTCCCTCCCCACAACAGGCACCCTGTGAGGCAGGTGGGGCTGAGAGAGCTCTGACAGAAACTGCTCTTTTTCAAGAACAGTTCTTATCAGAACTACAACTTGCCCAAGGTCACCCAGCCAGGTGCAAGTGGAGGAGTGGGGAAGCAAACCCGGTTCTCCCAGATTAGAGTCCGTGCACTTAGCCACTACACCAAACTGTACAGCTCACAAGACCTGTTTTACAAAGCTAGATTGCTATGCTGTACCGCTGCTCCTTCCTGTGACTTTGAAAGGAGAAGGACAGGTGGAAAGACAACACACACAACTAAAAAAAGACACGAGGTCAGCACCACCTCCCTCTAACTCAGGGCCCCCCAACCTTTTTGAGCCTGTGGGCTCCTTTGGAATTCTGATTCAGTGTGCTGGGCCCAGCCACTCAATGGCTGCTGCAGGAAGCAGAGCCAGCCATGAAACAGCTACCACAGCTTACCTTCAGCCACACAGTGCTGTGGTGGCAGCTGCTGCCCAAGCAATATTTTAAAACCTTCACAGACAATGAAATCTCCAATGGCCAATCAGAAGCCTTACTGGGAAAAAGCCACACATTATCTAAAAAAAACACGTGGCAGGAATCAGGAGAAGAACCCACGGGCACCACGTTGGGGACCCCCACTCTAACTTCACCGGACAGCCTGACACAAAAACTTTCAGTTGCATCTTCCTCGGTTTGCAAAGCAGGCGTTTTAATTTCAGGCACAACGTTGTGGAGCAAACCGGAATGGAAACAACTATGCCTGTACGCTCCGTGTCAAACCCTCTTGTCAAACCCATCTCCCAGCCAGCAAGCACACCACCACACCAGGTCGCCAGCAGAAGACAGGAGGGGATGGGAAGCAGGTGGCAGATTACCGATCTTGGAGTGCGAGATCTAGGTCACACCGTGCCAAACGCTGGAGCATATTTCACACAATCATCTCTTCGTTTTAACTTGGCTCATGCATAAAAGTCTCTTCAACATCAGCAAACAGAGCTCATTAATTCCCAGAGCTATTTTTGAAAAACAACCAGTTGTTTTTAGAAATGAGAGGTTAACATGACACATGGAGACACAAAATCAGACCCTTGGTCCATGGAGGTCAGTATTGTCTACACAGACTGGCAGTAGCTCTCCAAAGTGTCAGGATAAGGTATTTCACATCACCTGTTATCTGATCCTCTTAACTGAAGATGCTGAGGATTGAACCTGGGACCTTCTATGTGCCAAGCAGATGCTCTGCCACTGAGCCACAGCCCGTCTATGTCTCTCTAGGGTCTCAGGCAGAGGTCTTTCCCATCACCTCCTGCCTGGTCCTTTTAATTGGAGATGCTTCTGAGCTTCAACCTGGGACCTTATGCATGCCAAACAGATGCTCTACCACTAAACCATGGCCCCTCCCCAGGATAGGGAGGAAGAGGCACATGAGACAAACCCCTAGAAGGTTCTTGCATTCAAGCCAGCTGGTTTGAGCACATGAAGACCTCGACAGCTCTGTGTAAACAGCTGCTGCACACGTCTGGAGTGGGCCCATGGCAGAACTTACACTGCTTAGGAGCATCTGAGGGTTTGCATCCGAGAGGCTGCTGCACTTCTCCAATGTGGTACAGGAGTCCTAGGGTTGGACTAGAGGCCCACGCTGAAGTCCCCACTCAGCTATAAAGTTCACTGGGAAGGTCACTGTCTCTGAGCCATGCGTACCTCACAAGGTTGTAGTGAAGAGAAAAGGGAGAATGGACAGTCCAGTTTTAAGCCTCATAGGGCTTATTGTGGACAAGCAAAGCATCTGCCGAGTGAGAAGCACCTTTTTGGAATGGCTTGTCTACCACTCTGCAGCATGTGCAAAACAGAAGTGTTCACAAGGGCATTTTTTATAAAGTGATTAAATGCTGGTGTAATGGAGCAATGCATGAGGTTGCTTTTACGAGGGAATAAGTGTGCAGTCTATCGCAACATTATCATATGGGTGACCTTTGACTGCATGGCCACCCACCTTTGTAATCCACTTTCTGCATTATGGTATGCTGGGCCTTAGTTTTTTTGTTTGCACACCTTAGTTTTTTTGTAATCCTAATCCTACTGCACTGTATGTTGCAGTAGAAAGGAGCAAGAGTCAAGTAGTACCTTAAAGACTACGAAAATGTGCGGCAGGGTAGGAGCTTTTGGGGGTCACTGCTCACTTCTTCAGATACAGCTAGAATGGGAGTCCATCTGTCCTTGTATCTTGGAGAGTGATTTCAGATGCAGAATGACAATAGCAGGTTGTATGAAAACAGCAGACGTGATTGGATTAGGTGTGATATGCAGAGGGGTAGTAGGCCTGGAGAAATCAGCATTTGTAATGAGACAGGAAACCTAGGTCTCGATTCAGTCCAGGAAGATGCATTGTCTTGAGCTTCATTATCAGTCGCAATTCAGCAGTCTCTCTTTCTAATCTCCCTTCGAAATTCCTTTGTAAGAGAACTGCTACTCTTAGACGAGCAACTGAATGTCCTGGAAGGTTAAAAAGTTCCCCCACTGGTTTCTGAATGTTGTAGTTTCTAATGTCAGACATATGTCCATTTATTTTTTGTCAAAGGGATTGGCTTGTTTTTGTTCAGTGCAGAGGGTGGAAGGGCATTGCTGACACGTGATGGGCGGCCGTGTTAGTCTGTCTGTAGCAGCAGAAAAGAGTAAGAGTCCAGGAGCACCTTAAAGACTAACAAAAATTGTGGCAGGGGAGGAGCTTTCATCAGTCACTGCTCATTTCTTCACACAGCCCAGAATCTGAAGAAGCATCTGAAGAAGTGAGTAGTGACTCACGAAAGCTTCTACCCTGCCACAAATTTTGTTAGTCTTTAAGGTGTTACTGGACTCTTGCTCTTTCCTACTGCTACAGACAAACACCTGGCTATTCATCTTGATCTGTCCGCTCTGTATGCTGGAGAGCCAGTTTGGTGTAGTGGTTAAGTGCACGGACTCTAATCTGGGAGAACTGGGTTTGATTCCTCACTCCTCCACTTGTACCTGGCTGGATGACTTTGGGCAAGCCATAATTCTGTCAGAGCTGTTCTTGAAAAAGAGCAATTTCTCCCAGCCCCACCTACCTCACAGGGTGTCTGTTGTGGGGAGGGGAAGGGAAAGGAGTTTGTAAGTTGCTCTGAGACTCCTTTGGGTAGTGAAGGGTGGGGTATAAATCCAATCGCTTCTCTTCTTCTTGGATGTCTTAACACCATTTGATTACACTGTTTCCTATACTCTGGAATCCGCCTTAGGTCTCAGCAAGAAAGGTGGGCTATAAACGTCTGAACAAATGATAAAAATGTACCAATAATGGCATTCGGGAGCGACATACATACCTTCCCAAGGGTCACCTCCTTTGCTTTCTGTTGCTTAGCCAGAAATAGAAGAGAACAGACCAGGATCTTCTGTTGCAGCGGGAAGGAATCGGTGTCTCTGCAACTTCTTCCAGCCGTCATCCGGTCGCCGTACACATCGGAGATCACCTGGGAGATGTGGAGCAGGCCCACCCGTTTGGGCACTGGAGAATCTGTAGCTAGTTTTGAAGAGGACGCGCCTGAGGATGAAGTCAGGGGCGGGGAGGAGAGGACTGGAATCAGCTGGACAGGAAGGAATGTGTCACAGCCCAAACCTCTGGATGCATGCCCCGCTACACATTATCGAATCAAACAGCAGCAGGGAATTCTTGTTAACATGGAGTTTAAAGCTGGCAGACAGAGGATTCCTGGGGTAGTGTCTCCAGGCACTGAACAATCCAAAATCTGCTTATTTTAGAGAGTTTTTATGATGGCTTTCCATGCTCCAGGTCTGGGCTTGGTGCCTATTAGAGAGCAGCGTAAGTAGCGGGAAACCCTTAAGGGGAAGGGCATTCCAAGACACGGGGTCACTACTGAGAAAGCCCTGTCTCCAACTGCCTCTGTGGGCAGGGCCACAGAGAGCAGAGCTTCGGAGGCAGGCCGTAAGTGACAGGCTGGATAATATGGGAGGAGGCACCCTTCGGGCACCCTGGCCTCACGCCACAGAGGGCTTTAAAGGTAAGAACTGGCAATTTGAATTTTGCCTGGAAACAGATGGGCAGCCAATGCAGATACTGCATTGCTGCATCATAAGAACATAAGAGAAGCCAATGTTGGATCAGGCCAATCCATCCAGTCCAACACTCTGTGTCACCCAGTGGCCAAAAATACCAGGTGCCATCAGGAGGTCCAGGACACTAGGAACCCTCCCACTGTTCCCCCACCAAGAATACAGAGCATCCCTTGCCCCGAACCGAGAGTTCCTATCTATACCTTGTAGCTAATAGCCACTGATGGACCTCTGCTCCGTATGTTTATCCATTATATGCCTATATGCAAACCTAATAAAATGCAGGTCTTTGTCCTCTGATTTACTCAGAGTTGGGATTGCTCGTTACTGTTTGTATGTACCAAATTGTACATCCTCCAGCACACAAGCGGGGGTGGGGAGGGGAGACGACCTCGCAGCCTCACCAACGCGTTCAGTGAAGTTTGCTAAATGTGTACACAGCCTCTGGGCCGCACCAGTTTACAGCTCACAGCCTAGCTACAAAAAACAGACGTGGCCTGCCTGCAGCTCCCTGCACAGAGCCGCTTCACACCTGCGTTTACACTGCTTGAATCATGCTTCAAGCCAAGCGGTAGGGAGGGAAGGCAGGCAGCAAGGAGAACCTCTGCCTGCTTTCTGAACGCTGGAGGAGAGAACACATTTTTACACCAGCCAGCCCTCTGCATAAGCGTTTCTCCTCCCCGACTAAGGATCAAGCAAGTCCCTGGAAAGAAAAGCTACCAATCAAAGAAGTGCTTAATTAAACCGGACAGCACAGCATCTCGGCTGAGGCCCTGGTGGGGATTTCGGGGGGGGGGGGCACAGGGAGACACGAGACACACAACTACTTACAGCCAGACAGCGGTTTAAGGACGGTTTGGCTCTTCACATCAGACTCCACAATCTCAATGGCCCTCCTGTGGGTGAAAGTAAGATTTATTTATGTCATTTATAGTCACCCTTTCTCACTTGGACTCAAGGTGGATTACACGGACGGAGTCGATGCAATCAACAGGAGGGGGGCATTCAGTGAAGAATGCAATAGGATCCAGGTGGAAGAACCAATCAGAAATCTGAAAACAGAACTGAAGCAAAGCCGAAGTCTTAGCATGACACATTAAGTGATGGGAAAATTACATAGTAGGATTCCAGTTTCAGTAAGCCAAACACAGTAGTACAGACCACAGTCCCTAATAATACGTTCAAGCCACTTTTTGAATCATTTAGTACAGTGCAACTCTATTGCCTGTGTAGAAGTGCTCTCTTGAATAATTCAGTTTTGTATAGTTTGCGGAAAGTCAGGAAAGTGGGGGGAATTCCTGACCTCTTTGGGCAGGCCGCTCCACAAGGCGGGGGCCACAACAGAGAAGGCCACGTGTACTGATTTGGCCCATTTGCAGGGTGCCACCTGCAGAAGGCCCTGCTCAGACGAGCAATATTTTTTAGCTTTTGCCATAACACAAGCGCCATGCCCCACTTCCGCTCCAAACAACTCTGCATTCCCTCCCATCTGGCTGGTAAACAGAACAACCTACTGTTTCACTCCCCACTGCTAATTGCAGCCACCCCCACAGCTTATCTGCCGGTGGCTTTCGGTGCCTCCTGGCTGTGCCATGCCGATAGAGAGGCAACGGCAGGTATAAAAAACCAAACACAAAAGAGACGTGTCTCAAAAAAGAGCTGTGACAACTCCTTAGAGCAGTGACCTGAAATGTTTACCGTGCCAAGTGCATTTCAAGTCTGAGACATGACTCCCCTTTTCCCAAGGGGTGAAGTAATTTCAGATATCGTGGATGGGATATTTTGCATTTGACTGATTTTTTAAGAAATACGCTAAAGGCTTCACACACACACACACACGTTGTGCTCTCAATCAAAATAAATTTATTAGTCAAATGCAGGTCTTTTCTCATTCTCAACAACAACTCAGAGCTAAAGGAGATCAACCATCAAGCAGACGGACCAACAGTCTAAAAATGTGCGTGTGAAGTGTCAACAAGACGCTCCGGACGTATGGCGACTCTAGGAATTAATGTCCTCCAAGATGTCCTCCCATTACCAGCCATCCTCAGGCCTTGCAAACCGAGGGCCGCAGCTTCCTTGACTGGGTCAATCCATCTCATGTTGGGTCCTCTTTTCCTGCTGCCTTCAACATTTCCTATCAAACCCCCTACGAGGATTTCCAGTAGACGTATGTCAGGTGCTCTACATGCAAAAGATCCTCCTTCAAGGCAGGGAGGGAAAAACTGAACCAGCCCCCACAATTTCATGAAATATACCTCATGCACCTGCTTCCCTGGTCTTAAGCAGTCACTGACACCCAGGATTGTATTAGCCCACGGTTGGCCGAACGATGCACCTGACTTGCCCCTGACATTATTGACAAGGATAAATTTTTATCCCTCTCCCAAAAGACTAGACCTTGAGGGCACCCAATAAAGCTGATGGGCAGTAGGTTCAGGACAGACAAAAAGAAATACTACTTTACGCAGGGAGTGATTCAAATGTGGAATTCGCTGCCAGAGGATGCCGTGATGGCCACAGGAATAAACAGCTTTAAAAGGGGATTAGAGAGATTCAGGAAGGATAAGTCTATCAATAGCTACTAGCCATGGTGACTGAGAAGAACATCCACATTCAGAGGCCTCTGAATCCCAGAGCCAGGGGGCAGCATCAGGGGAAAGCCTCAGCCTCTATGCCCTGTTGGCGGCTGTCCAGAGGAACCAGTCGGCCACTGTGTGAGACAGGATGCTGGACTAGATGGACCCCTGGTCTGATCCAGCAGGGCTGTTCTTATATTCTTATCAGGGGAAGGCCTCGGCTTCTATGCTCTGTTGTTGGCCCTCCAGAGGAACTGGTTGGCCCCTGTGTGAGACAGGATGCTGGACTAGATGGATTACTGGTCTGATCTAGCAGGGCTCTTTGGATGTTCATATTATTATGGTGTGCGCTTGTTTCTCCTCTTCTGCACAGTGGTTCATCAAGACCTAAATGCTCTAAAGCAGTGTTGGGAGAGACCCAAGGGGGAGAAACAGTGTAAGGCTGTTCCGCGCTTCTAGAGGAAGACCTAGGGTGACATGCAAGCCCCATTAACAGAAGCTCATTACTATCTCGTCTCTTAATGAGACTAATGCTCTATTTGTCGTTGTGGAAGCAGCGCTCGAGGCGGCCTGCCGACCCAAAGCCTCCGGGCCAAGCACTGCCTAATTTGGACACCCTGCAGGTGGTCAGTGGCAAGGCTAAATCTCTCATTTAAGCTGACAGTTGTTCAACAGCTACGACAAAATTTAAGTGATTGAGCCAAACACCTTTTTTAAAAAAATGGCAGGTGTAAAATTATACTAACAGCTGGACTTCTTGGAAGCAAAGAGCCCCAGTCGGTTTTGAAATGGGGCAGGACGATTTTAAAGATACCTTGTGATTCTATTCTGCTGTTTTGGTACAGGTACCACTCGAGTAAATAAAAAAGTTCTTCCCCCCTCCCCCTCTTCTGGAACACGCCCCAAATCAGGGTACTAGCGCTAGTGGCTATGACTTGCAATAAATCTGCTCCTTTTTTTGTTAATGTTCTGGGCCTGACCTATTTAATTTCCATCAGCTTTTCTTCCCAGTTGGAAACGCAAAGTAGCTAAATAGTTAAAGCAAATTGGGGGGAAAAAATAGTTAAAACCCTAGAGTGGGGGAAAAGCTATGTTCCTCTGCCCAATGGTTTAGGAGGTTCCTGCTCCATGCTTTTTGAGTGCCTTAAGCAGATTTTAAGCAGTTTAATTCAGAATTTGCTTATTTTGTCTGAAAGCACTCGCTTTGTCATTTCAGTGGTTTTAAAGAAGGCCAACAAACACACTTATGTCTGCAAGCCCGATGCTCATGGAAGTGGTTATTTCCCAAATTCTGCTTAGGATGTATGCTGTGAAGTATTAGCAGTTCTGAAGCTGGGACCTGCCTATAAAGAGGAGACTTGCTTTATTTTGCTTATGCGTAGAACCAGTGTCAAGTCTTCACACAATTATTTACGACCCCCCCCCCAGCTTCACATCTTCCCATCTGGTTCTTCAAGATACTCCCCCTACTGGGGATTCTCTTTACATATTACATTTCTGAAATCAAGACTTTAATAACGCGACAGAGTTTTGAAAAAAGCTGTTACTACCTCTTGAATGATGCCACACAGAGACAGGAGATGTTTCTATTGGAAATATTAATATACTCCATAATTACCTCCCTACTTGTTGCTAAAACAACTGCCCAGGAAGTCGACTTCTGGAATCATGTTGGCAGGGAAACAAAGGCCAAATGAAACCAGGTTCTTGAGGTTTTGTGGACATCCCTGCTAAGATCTGAATGATGCTGGATAGATACAGATCTGCCTGTTTATAGGATTAGTATTATGTTGGGGTTGAGTGGAAAGGAAACAGGCAGACTTGGGTGATCTCAAGGCTTACATTCTTGGCAAAATTAAGTCGCTTTTTGCAGACAATCCAGTCAAAGCAGTGCACTTTCACTTCAGTTCCCGAAGTTCCGCTTTTGGGATTCATTTTGTTATCTGCTTATGAACAATCTGTAATTCTCCCAATGATTTAAAAAAGTTATCCAGGATTGCTATGGGGCAAGGTTTTTGTTTTTTTTTAAACTATGATTTTATCTTAGTAAGTGCTTTCCTCAGAGTGATTTTCCCACTAGTAGGTGCAAACGGTTTTGTGTTTGGTTTTTACAGCCGATGGCTAAAGCCATAAAAGGCACTGAAGACACAACAAATTCAGCTGGTAGAGACAAAGTTCTTACAAGAACCCTATAAACAGAGATGACTAAGAGACTTAATTATAAGCATCTAACTTGATAAGAGCATTTTAACTTTCCTCCTCCTGAGAAGATATAAGTTCGGACTCTGACAGACTCTTCTAGAAGGGGAATTCTATCATCAAAACGCCCATGCGCATTTTATTTGGGGTTTAACATAAGAAGAGCCCTGCTGGATCAGACCAGTGGTCCATCTAGTCCAGCATCCTCTCTCACACAGGGGCCAATCAGTTCCTCTGGACGGCCAACAACAGGGCAGAGAGGCCGAGGCCTTCCCCTGATAAGAACATAAGAAGAGCCCTGCTGGATCAGACCAGTGGTCCATCTAGTCCAGCATCCTGTCTCACACAGGGGCCAGCCAGTTCCTCTGGAGGGCCAGCAACAGGACATGGAGGCCGAGGCCTTCCCCTAATAAGGACATAAGAAGAGCCCTGCTGGATCAGACCAAGAGTCCATCTAGTCCAGCCTCCTGTCTCACACATGGCCAGCCAGTTCCTCTGGAGGGCCAACAACAGGGCACAGAGGCTGAGACCTTCCCCAATAAGAACATCAGAAGAGCCCTGCAGGATCAGACCAGTAGTTCATCTAGTCCAGCATCCTGTCTCACACAGGGGCCAACCAGTTCCTCTGGAGAGCCAACAACAGGGCATAGAAGCCAAAACCTTCCCCTGATGCTGCCTCCTGGCTCTGGGATTCAGAGGATTAGTGCCTCTGAATGTGGCGGTTCCCCTCAGTCACCACGGCTCGTAGCCATCGATAGACATCCTCCACGAATCTATCCAATCCCCCTTTCAAGCTGTTTATTCCTGTGACCATCACTATATCCCCTGGCAGCGAATCGCACATTTTAACCTCTCTCTGTTAAAGTAGCATTTCATTGGATGCCCTTCCACCACAGACAAACTCACTGAGCCAGGCCAATATTGGGCTTCCTCCTATTCTACAGCATAACCCACCGGCTGTCTATTTGGAAGTAAGTCCTGTGGGAGACAAGGGGGCTTTCTTTCAGGTAACTGTACACAGAAATGCAGCCTTACTCCAGTCACCTGCAGCTGCTTGCTCTGCAGGTCTTTCTGGACAGCACCCGGTAAAATCTGGCCTACTGCCGAGGGGTGACCTCCACTTCCACAATTCACTTAAGAGAGAAAACTCACAAAAGTGTTTTTGCTCTGCTGGCAAGGCAAGCACAGGTAAAGGTGGGCCAGTCTGCAAACGCCCCAGTGAGGTCAAGGAAAGCAGAAACCAACTATTATAAACTAAACTTGCGAGGGAAAAGAAAACACTTCCCAGCCCCATAAAGAAGCCTGCTTGAGGACCATTAACGGGGGCCTTTTGCAATCCAAATGTAATTAACCAATCTATAATCGCAGCAGGGAGGGAACAGTTCCTCTCACCCTTCCTAGGTAATGGGCTGTGAACGTTTCCAGACATTAACACAGCCAGGCAGCAGCAGCGCCCCTCCTCCCCACACAGACGTGTGGGTCCCCCCCCCCCCCCCCGGGGGCCCCCAACCCTAAATGCAATAATGAAGCTTTAAATCACATCCCACACGCTGTAATTAGCTTAGATTTTAAAAAACGCAATATATCCGTCACCTGCAGATGTCCAGCGCTTTGCGAGCATCCCCAGAGATGGCTGAGACTTTCCGAGCGCAGAACTGGATGGCGGCTTGGTCCAGCACCTGCTCTCCTGACACCTAAGGGACAAGAACAGGGAGGAAGGGCAGTTACAGGAGTAATTTGGGAACCTCTTTTGGCCAGTTCTGAAGAGAAACGACAGCAAAGGGTCTGGCTGCAATCGACAAAACTCCCAGTCTCTCTAAAGGAGAACCCTGCTCGGGCCCATAGCCATGGCGGGCATCTCGGGGCCATGCCCCCTTAATGAACAGGCATACCCAGTGGCACAGTGGGTATATCCCACTGTCCCAACATCCGAAATGTGTCAGTTCGAGCCCCGCACTGGTGTGAGCAGCCAGCCTGTTGTCCCCAGCTCATCGTCCACCCAGCGATTCAAAAGCCTCGGCAAGTAGATAAAATGGTTACCACTCCTTAGAGAGGGTGGGCACACCAACTCCCCTGTGGGAAGGTGTTAGCTGTCGGTTGGGACGTCCTGTTCCAGGATCGGAAAGGTGGAAGAAACTACTCAGCTACAAAAAGCCCTGCAGTGGGATGCTCCGGCCAGGCGGTGGCAGTAGTCCCCTGTCTAAAAGTGTAACTGTAAATCACTTTGAGCCCACTCATGGGGAAAGTGATTAATAGAAAGCATTATTATTATTATTATTAATAATAATAATAATAATAATAATAATAATAATAATAATAATAATAAACACTACCGCCAAAGTTAATATAATATATTTTAAAGTCTAAATTTAGCTGCGGTATGCTGAGTCCTGCCTGCGCCTTCTCCTCCTCCAGTGTGCCGGTCTGGAGCTGCCTTCTCCAGCTGGCCATGAGTCCGCCTTCTCCTGAATCGGGTCAGCCTTGGTGGAAGGCGAGGGCCCCCCAAACTTCAAGGCTCTCGGCTGTGCCCCTGCTTCACTGCAGCACCCTGTTGAGCCTGCCACTGAGGGGAGCTCCACAGTTCACCTTACCTCCTCTCCGAGAAGGCAGCTCCAGTGTTGCCCCCCCCCCCCGGGGGGGCAGCCAGCCCCACCTTGGTCGGAACCCCTGGAAGGTCCGATGGAAGAAAGCCTTCGACAAGGCAGCTGACAAGGAGCTGACGGTGGGGAGGCCAGCTCCTGCGACAGAGGAAGGAGTTCCCCGTCTAGCTCCTGTACCAGAGGAAGGAGCTCCTTGTCCCTGGGCCAGGCTGGTAGGCTGGCTCTGAAGCATCTGGGGAGGGTGGGGCTTGAAAGGGGCCCTCAGACTGGCGTCATTCTCCCCCAATGAAATACCAGCAAGAGCTTTGGCAGAAGACAGGTATGTGCACTTGATCTCCAGAGCAAGGACACGTCTGGGGCTTTTTATTTTATTTATTTATAATTTTGTGACATCATGCTGGCTACAGGCCTGACTCTGCTAGAATCCTACAGCCCCGTCTGTTGTCCTCAGGACACAGCCTAGATGCTCAGGAGAGAAAGAAAGAGGTAGTGACTGCAGTTGAAGGTGTACTCTCGGGTTTAGCAAGCGACCAGGCTGAAAGGCGACAAGGCCACTGGCATGGAATTCTCTGCACATGTGACACCTCCTGGTCAACACAGGACCTTTCAGTCTCCTTGCGAGGCCAAACTAACCATTACTGATTAATTCAGGGGTCCACAATGTGGTGCCCAAGGACATCATGACCAATGCTCCCTCTAAGCTGTGGAGTTTTGTGAGCAAAAATTCTACTTTGTGAGCTACTGGCATTAAAGTTGTGAGCAAGCGATTTGGCCGTTGCATAAATGTGTTTGCTCTGGAGCCACCCTTCCTGAGCTAAGAGAAAAATGTGTGAGCCGGAGGCTAAAAAACAGTGAGCTAGCTCACACTAACTCAGCTTAGAGGGAACACTGATCATGACACCCACCAGTAGGGCTTTTGATTGCCCATCTGAGATCTGATTGGCTGGGCAGATTAAAGTAACATTATGGCGACAGCTGCCACCACAGCCTTGGTTTTATTTTCTAACTCCTTTTTCCCAGTGTGTCTTTAAAATTTACTCCTCTTGTTCCCTGCACTTGGGCCTCCTCTGTGTGTGTGGCTGGGTCTGCCTCCCACGTGGCCATTCTGTGGTTGTGCCCACTGCCCCGATTCAAAATTGTAAAGGTGCACTCACAAGCTCAAAAAAGGTTGGGATCTCCCGGATTAATTGATGTTGTCCCTTACATTTTCCCTGGTAGCCAGATACATGCTTTTACAACAGTTTCTAATGTTGCCTTTTCTTGAACTCCCAAACCTTTCAGCAAACAAGTTTGCTTCTGACGCTGGCCACCCTGAGCTCTCCTTTGCTTTAGGAAACTGTCACTGTCGCCCTCTCTTGCAACAAGGAGGGCAGACAGCTAGCTTTTAGCTGCAAGTAATTTCGAAGGCCTTCCTGGTACAAGGTGAAGGGTGGGTTTCACCCTGTGGATAACATAGCCTTCCATTTAGAACAGATGTGACTGTTCTGTCTGAAACTCGCTTAGCGTAAGGTGGGGTACGGGACATGCCTCCCCTGTAGCACCAGGGATGCGATTTTGCAGCATAGAACCTACCGGCTTCAAGCGTTCCTCGAGGATGGAGGCAAGCTGGTCTTTGCTGTAGGGGGAAAAGTTGAGCAGCTGGGGCCGGCACTTGGGGTGAGCCTGCAAGCGGGGCAGGATGCGATCGGTGAGATCCAGAGCATTGGCTATCCCTGTCGAGAGAGGAGAGAGACACTTTTGTTTCCAACCATCCTCTTTCAGACAGCTTACTGCAGAACTGAAAAAACCTTCCTCATAAGACGGGACAGCCCACACTGAGCAAGGAACCCGCCTTTTGAGAATTCACCCCCCCAAAAAAAACAAGGTGTGCCTTTGCATATTTGTGGCCTGAATCACTGGCCATTTCCCTGCATTCCACTTGCTGATATTTATATTGCCATGCTTTTGTGGTAGAGCAGCTAACAATTGAGGCAGAGCTGCAGTGGCTCAGACATTAAGATGTGGAGCTGCAGACTGGAAGGCCTGTAGTTTAGCAGTTCGAGACCCTAGTGCCGCATGACAGAGTGAGCTCCCATCTCTGGCCCCAGCTCCTGCCAACCTAGCAGTTTGAAAGCAAGAAATTTCAAGTGGATAAATACCTTCTGTGGGAAGGTAACAGTGTTCCATGCGCCTCAGCGTTTAGTCATGCCGGCCACATGACCATCTTTGGACAACGCTGGCACAGGAAGTGATGGTGGCTACAAACATTGACAGTTTCACGAGGAGATTGGATAAACATATGGAGCAGAGGTCCATCAGTGGTAATTAGCCACCAGGTACAAATGGAACACTCTGACAGGGGCAGTGATTCTCTGTATTCTTGGTACTTGGGGGGGCAATAATGGGAGGGCTTCTGGAGCTCTGGCCCCACTGGTGGACCTCCTGATGGCATGGCACCTGGGTTTTGGCCACTGTGTGACACAGAGTGTTGGACTGGATGGGCCATTGGCCTATTCCAGCATGGCTTTTTTATGTTCTTATAGATGGAACACTCTGTCTGGGTTAGGGATACTCTGTATTCTTGGTCCTTTGAGGGCAACAGTGGGAGGGCTTCTGAAGTTCTGGCCCCACTGGAAGATCTTGTCTCACTAACCTGTTAATGTTCTTTGAGGGGGTGAAAAAACATGTGGACAAGGGGGATCCAATAGATATTGTTTACCTTGACTTCCAGAAAGCTTTTGATAAAGTTCCTCATCAAAGGCTCCTAAGCAAGCTCAAAAATCATGGGATAAAAGGACAAGTCCTTTTATGGATCAAAAACTGGCTAATTAATAGAAAACAGAGAGTGAGTATAAATGGGCAGTTCTCCCAGTGGAGGGGGGTAAGCAGTGGGGTACCGCAGGGATCAGTACTTGGTCCACTGCTTTTTAACTTGTTCATTAATGATTTGGAGTTGGGAATAAGCAGTGAAGTGGCTAAATTTGCGGATGATACGAAGTTGTTCAGGGTGGTGAAAACCAGTGAGGATTGTGAGGCACTCCAAAGGGATCTGTCAAAGATGGGCAAGTGGGCGTCAACATGGCAAATGGGGTTCAATGTGGCCAAGTGCAAGGTGATGCACATAGGAGCAAAAGATCTTAAATATAAATACACGTTGATGGGGTCTGAACTGGCAGAGACTGATCAAGAGAGAGATCTTGGAGTCGTAGTAGATAACTCACTGAAAATGTCGAGACAGTGTGTGACTGCAATAAAGAAGGCAAATGCTATGCTGAGGATTATTAGGAAGGGTATTGAAAACAGATCAGCCAATATCATAATGCCCCTATATAAATCAATGGTGAGACCTCATTTGGAATACTGTGTGCAGTTCTAATCACCACACCTTAAAAAGGATATTATAGCTTTGGAAAAAGTGCAGAAAAGGGCAACTCGAATGATAAAAGGGTTGGAACACTTTCCCTATGAGGAAAGGATAAGGCGCTTAGGGCTCTTTAGCTTGGAGAAACGACGACTGAGGGGTGACATGATTGAGGTTTATAAGATTATGCATGGGAAAGAGCAGGTAGAGAAAGAGGTACTTTTCTCCCTTTCTCACAATACAAGAACTCGTGGGCACTCCATGAAATTGCTGAGCGGTCGGGTTAGAACGGATAAAAGGAAGTACTTCTTCACCCAAAGAGTGATTCACACATGGAATTCACTGCCACAGGAGGCGGCGGCGGCTACAAGCATGGACGGTTTCAAAAGGGAATTAGATAGGCATATGGAGCAGATGTCCATCAGTGGCTATTAGCCACAAGGTATAGATAGGGACTCTGGGGCAAGTGATCTGTCATCTTGGAGCTTGGGGGGGGGGTCAACAGTGGGAGGGCTTCTAATGTCCTGGCCCCACTGGTGGACCTCCTGATGGCACTGGTATTTCTGGCCACTGTGTGATACAGAGTGTTGGACTGGATTGGCCTGATCCAACATTGTTCTTATGTTCTTATGTTCACTGGTGGACCTCCTGATGGCACCACGGTTTTGGGCATTGTGTGACACAGAGTGTTGGACTGGATGGGCCATTGGCCTGATCAAGCATGGCTTCTTTATGTTCTTATAGATGGAACACTCTGTCTGGGTTAGGGATGCTCTGTATTCTTGGTCCTTTGAGGGCAACAGTGGGAGGGTTTCTAGAGTTAAGGTCCTGCTGGTGGACCTCCTGATGGCACCTGGGTTTTGGCCACTGTGTGACACAGAGTGTTGGACTGGACGGGCCACCGGACTGATCCAACATGGCTCCTCTTACGTTCTTATGAAGGAAGAGGCCTTACTATCCCAAAAGAAAAGACAAAAAGGGAACATGGGAGAGAAAGATGCTAACAGGGTAGATCTCAATGGAGGCATGATCGTGCCGTTCCCTTTCCTTGTCTTCTTGCTCTGGCTTTTGAATAACAGTAAGATTCGGCTGCAGCGTCTCCAATACATACCAATGAGAACTAGCCGGGAACTGGGGAGGGAGGGCCACTCAAACACGGTGTAGAGCACATCTTGCCCCCTGCTGTCCAGCTGATCCATCTCATCCAGCACAATCAAACTGCAAAGGGAAGATTGTAACGTGAGCACTTAGCCCTACTAGGGATAAAGAGAACCTGTGCAGATTTTTTACATCACACAGGGGAGGAGGAGGAGGAAGCAAGACAAGGATGTCTTTCCAACCACCACCTAAGCAACCGAAACATGTAGAAATATAGCTAGAGGTAATGGGCTGCTCGACACAGAATTTAAACTATATGTCACCCTGCCAGGTACTTTATTTAGAGGCGACTGGAAAAGAAATTTCTAAGTTACAGCAATTTATCTCAAAAGGAACCAGCACAGGGGACCTCTTTAGTGTCAAATTCCCTGTTGCCCAAGGAACCAGATGTTGGGTTTACCAGGCAAAGGGGATTCACACTAAGATGCTTTAAACCCCATTAGAGAGACACAGATATTGGCGTACACTCTGATTAAAAGCTTCTTTGGGGAATCCATCCTGTAAACCTAGCCACCTTCCGGTGCTTCAGCAATATATTTCCAAGAGATGCCATGAACCAGCTCAGCCTTGGACACCAGGTGCAAAGTGCTTGGGGGCCAGCAACTCACACAAACAATCTCTGTTTGCCATAGGCAAAAGCCACTGATGTTTAAGACTGCCAAACTAGGACTGAGGAGACATAGATTCAGATTATCAGGTCAAGTTCAAGGTTTTGGTTCGGACCTTTAAAGCCCTAAACCAGGGGTGTCAAACTCATTTGTTATGAGGGCCAGATCTGACATAAATGAGACCTTGTTGGGCCGGGCCATGTGTATCACAAAATGTCATGCCAGGTAGCAGAGATATAAACCTTAAAATTGTAGTGTGACGCCATACAGGTTTTGTTTTTGTATATAACACCTCTTGTTTTAAGATTTTTGTATTTTATGTGTATATTTAGATCAATGGATTGATTTTTATGCTTTGATGTAAAATGTTGTATACTGCTCTGAGCCTTCTCTGCAGGGAGAGTGGGATAAAAGTTTAATAAATAATAATTTCTACTCAGCCGCCAAGTTCCCACCCTGGGTGACTTTGGGTCAGCCACTCTCTCTAAGTCAAACCTCCCTCCTGGGGATAAAATGGGGGGGGGGGCGGAGAGGAGGAGGATCAGAAGATTGGACTTATACACCGCCCTTCACTCGGAGTCTCAGAGCGGCTTACAAACTCCCTTCCCTTCCCCTCCCCACAACAGACACCCTGTGAGGTCGGTGGAGCTGAGAGAACTCGGACAGAAACTGCTCTTTTTTAAGAACAGCCGTGCCAGAACTATGGCTTGCCCAAGGTAATCCAGCCAGGTGCAAGTGGAGGAGTGGGGAATCAAACCCGGTTCTCCCAGATTAGAGTCCGCGCACTTAACCACTACACGAAACTTTAAGGGAGCTGGGGGCAGGAAGCACAAGCTGAACACCAGGAGGTGTCCACCACTATGGAGCGAATGTAAACTAACTTTCCATCAGCTGGGCCTCGAGCACATGCATGTGTGCGACACACACAGAAGCTTGCCAGAATCCGAGACTGTATGCAGAACTAAAACTAGGCATCTTATACCCTAAATGCTGGCTGTGAATTAAAGAATTATTAAGCTCTCCCAAACAACTGGACAGGACGGGCCATCTTGCCCCTGGTGTCCGGGGGGAGGGGGGGAAACGGACACATCCCAAGCTTTCGAAGATAAGGGCTGCTAACAAGCATATATATGAGAGAGAGAGAGAGAGAGAGAGAGAGAGACAGACAGACAGACAGACAGACACCCGGGGCAACTAAGCACCGGCATGCAACAAAGATGGAGTCGCATGGGCCATAAGCCCTGCCTTGCTGTCCTGCAGCTCCTCTCCACTTGCACGCAAAGAGAGGAAAGAGGCATGGCGCCCTCGGCCTCCATGCACTCATGGCGGCGGCAGGGCCCTCCCAAACGCCACACCCCCGACTGTTATTACTGTCAGCTTGGAATGCCCTTGGCCACCCTTTGCTTGTGCAACACTCAGTTCCTCCCCAGGGATTTCTACTCACACCATAGGGCCACTTTTTGACATCAACCGCTTCTCCAGCTTCCTGATGACGTCGCTCCGGGCAGCTTTGTCCGCTCTTGCCAGGCCTAGGTGCTCGGCGATGGCAGGGAAAACAGCCTGGGAGCTCTGCAGGGCCATGCAGTTCAGGACGATGACCTTGCTGCCCGCCAGCTCCTTCTGCAGAAGGGACAAGGAGAGCAACAGAGTAAAACGTCTGCAAGGAAGTGCAATGTAAGTGAATAGACAGGGCAATGGAAGCTCTGAGCAGAAGGGTTTGGTACTAGGGTCCCTCCTTCCATACCTGAGGGACCGCCTTTCCCCCTTATGTTCCCCAGAGAGCACTGCGTTCAGGGGCTCAAAACTGGCTGGCCCTCCCGGGTCCAAAGACTGGTGATAACCAGGGTCAGGGCTTTCTCTGTGGTGGCTCCATGCTGGCGGAACGAGCTCCCAGAGGAGATTAGGGGCCTGCGGGACCAATACCTAAGTTGTGGTACAGTTGGATTTAGGAATTTCCGCTCTGCACTTTTGTTTCCGGCACTTCGAAAGTGGTTTCTGATTGTTCTTAGATGTTTTATGTATGTTTTTAATTGTATTTATATACATTGTATGTAAGCCGCCTCGAGCTGGCTTTGGCAGGATGGGTGGGGTATAAATCAATGTCAGCGTCCCAAGGGTGTCAGGGTAGGAGTGGGTCACGCGGGATGTCCAGGACAGCCAAACCTTAAAGTCCAAGGGTCGCCTCAGACTGGGTCTCTCAGTTACTCCACTAGAGAGATTCCCAGTTGGTTTTGGGCCAACGGGTGTGAGTGGATTCGACCTCTCCGGTCGGCTGCTCCCTCCTCTCTGTCTCCTTTCCCAAACGCCCACCAATCTTCCTCGGCTTCTACCTGTGGATCTCTTTATTTGGTGTAGCTTTCTCACCTGCATCACCCACTGACCACTCCTTAAAGGTATATAGCCACATTAATAAACTCTCCTGCATTCTCCCACCCATCTCTTCGCCTCCCAGCCCCTTGCCATGTTGCCCAGTTTCCTGATCGCCCTGCTCTTCCTCCTTTTCCAGCTGGGCCGTCTGGCCAGGACTCCAGACCCTCCTGGGAAGGGTCGCACTCCTTGCTTAGCTGGCTGTCAACTGCTAAAGGGGATGCTGCCCATGTAGGCAGGAGGGGGTTGCCTTCTACCTCCTGACAATCGAACTAAAAAAACAACATAAAGATGTGTGCTGTCTGCTCTGACTTCATCTTGGCCAAATTCACTTTGTCAGACTTTTTAGTAGCTCACAAGGCCATGCTTTGGAGCAATGGAACAAAGTTAGAGTCCAGTGGCACCTTTAAGACCAACTACCTCTAACTTTGTTCTGCTGCTTCAGACCAAGACGACTACCCATCTGAATCTATGCTTTGGAGTAGGTCATGCACTGGAGAAGGTGAAGTCAAGGCTGTGCTACTGAGTGGCCAAAACTCTGGGTGGGAGACTGATTCACTGATGGGACATCTGCAGGCCCACCAATTGCCACAGGGGTTTGCAAAGCCAGGTACCCACCTAAATCTAGCCACGTGATTTCATTAGCAAGAAGAAGCGGAAGAGATTGGATTTATACCCCGCCCTTCACCCAGAGTCTCAGAGCAGCTTACAAACTCACAACAGACACCCTATGTAGGTGGGGCTGAGAGAGCTCTTTCCAGAACTGTTCTTGAGAGAACAGCTCTGACAAAACTATGGCTTTCCCAAGGTCATCCAGCAGCTGCAAGTGGAGGAGTGGGGGATCAAGCCCAGTTCTCCCAGATTAGAGTCTGCGCACTTAACTGCTACGCCAAACTGGCTCTCAAGGACAAGTCTTCCTGAGTGCAAAATCTAATTACCATCAAGCAGCCCGGTGAGCTGATGACCCTAGCCTACCAGCCTGCTCCAGGTACAGGGGGAAGCCCCACCCTGCCAGCCCCTTTGCCCACTCTGTTACCTTTCTGGGAACCCTCCCCCCTTTCTAACTCAGTCAGGAAACCCACAGATTCTCATCCTGACGTGCCCATCTGTGGGTGTTAGGTAAAGGTTTCCCATGCTCAAAAGCCAGTTGAATCCGACTCTAGAGATGTGGTGCTCATCTCTGTTTCCAAGCCGAAGAGCCAGCGCTGTCCAAAGACATTTCCGTGGTCATGTGGCCAACATGACTAGATGCCGAGGCACATGGAACACCGTTACCTTCCCACCGAAGTGGTACCTATTTATCTACTTGCAATTTCTTGCTTTCAAACTGCTAAATTGGCAGGAGCTGGGACCAGAGGCAGGAGCTCACTCTGTCATGCGGCACTCGGGTCTCAAACTGCTGAACTACCGATCTTCCGGTCTGCAGTTCAGCGTCTTAACCACTTGAGCCACCGCAGCTCCCCTCTGTGGGTGTTAACTGCCATCAATTTGCTTCTGATTCAAGGCAGCCCTATGGATGCATGTCCTCCTTGTTAACAGCCTTGCACAAGTCTTACAAACTGAGGTCCGTAGCTTCCTTGATTAAGTCAACCCATCTTCTGTTGGGTCTTCCTCTTTTCCTGCTGCCTTCTACTATCCCTAGCCTTACCCTTCCAGTGCAAAGTAGTCCCAAAGGGTCTATCAATGCCCAACAGTGCAGGTTTTCCACTGGAGGACTAACAAACCAGGATTCTCACAAGATTAATTCAGATTTGATGGCAACAATGGTTTAAAATGAATTCAACATTCAGAAGACCGAAACCACAATAGGCAAGCTGTGGTTTAGAACCACTTGTCTTTTTGGTTTTTGTCTTCTCAGCACTCAGCTTCTTAGGTTCGCATTCTCTCTCTGTGATGGAGCAGCCTCTGGAGGGTAAAGCACGATCATCACTACAGCCGGTACATTCGGAGATCGCACCAAGCCAGAGTTTGCATCAACTGTGATTTATAAACCTTTTCTGTGCTTCAGCCATGCTTGGATTAAGTGTCTGCACTGAGCCATGGGCATCAAGCTGTTGGAAGCACGAAGAAAGAGATAGGAGGACAGGCTTCTACAGGAACAGGTGTTAAGAAAGGGATTTTGGGAGAGCAAGTCACAGATGGGACACAAAAGGGGCTCCATAGACCTAAAGATGATAAACACAGCTTGTCAGAGATGGGCAATGATTGTTTCGGTGTTACATTTCATAGCAAAGCTTTTAAAACAGGTCCACACCCGAGTTTGTGGAGAAACATCTTCTATTTTCTTATTGATATATAACAGACTTCCTTTCTGTATTTTTGCTATATCACCTATTTGTTTAAGGCAATAGCAAATATACAGAAGAGGAAAAAACATGCAAGACTATGTAGCAACAGTGAAACTAATAATGTAGCTGCAAAACAGATTCGTTATGAAAACTGAAATGTAAAGCGTTGAGTATAAATGTACCCCAACAGAAGTATCATTGTATTTTTATAGACGGTATCCTAAAAAAATTCTAATGTGATGAAACGGATGTTGGGGAGAAACATTTTTCTGTATTTTATACTTTGTTATATAATCTTTGATACATATAATTATATTATATAACCCCTCTTTTTTCTTTTCGGTATTTCCCTTGTATTATTTCTCATTTTTTCTAATTTATAACAAAACAGGTCCACACCCAAGTTTAGACCTTGGAGTTACCTTCAAGTCCTCCAGGGCCCTGCCCAGGCAGGCGGTCTTCCCCGTGCCTGGGGCTCCAGAGATATAAAGACTTCCTGGCTTCTCTCCACAGACATGCTCCTTGAGGAACTGATGCAGGAAGCATGTCTCCTTCTCTCTTGTGTGTAGGTGGTCTGGGACAGCAGTGTGCAGGAGGCTCTTGGCTTGTTGGTAACAGGTGCCTTTGTAAACAAGCATGTTAAGAAAAATCTGTTTTAAACAGGAAAGTTTCAGGCACAAAAACCAACACACAAGTTGTAGAACTGCCTTCCACCACACAGAGCTAACCGGCAAAACTTGAAGTGACGACAGGAAGGAACCGTGAAAGTTTGCTTGTTGCCTCTATTTTTTTTAAAACCCAATTTCAATTTATGTGCTGCCTCTCAAAGCGGTCAAGGCAAACACAATCCGAATATAACAAAATCAGTACTTTTACAAACCATCTGATTAGGCAAAAAAAAAAATTGGGGAAAAATGCTAAAACAGATTCCAAAGGAGTCCATGAACTGTGTTTACCCATTGGTATCTAACTCCCTGAATAGCTGAGCTATTCAAAGTCTTAAAAGATGATGCTGTTAAAGTGCTACACTCAATTTGCCAGCAAATTTGGAAAACGCAACAGTGGCCACAGGATTGGAAAAGGTCAGTATACATTCCAATCCCAAAGAAGGGCAATGCCAAGGAATGTTCGAACTATCGCACAATTGCACTCATATCACATGCTAGCAAGGTCATGCTCAAGATCCTCCAAGCTAGGCTTCAACAGTACGTGGATAGAGAACTGCCAGAAGTACAAGCTGGGTTTCGAAGAGGTACAGCAACATTCGCTGGATTATGGAGAAAGCAAGAGAGGGAACTTCCGGTTGATGGCGGCACGCTCACGGACTCACCTCCCGGACCTCCCAGGGGTGTCTCCGTGCTCCGGCGGAGGGAGGGGGTGAGCAGGCTCATTAACCCCCTCAGGGGCCTGGCGAAGGGGGTAGCCTCTTCGATGGCTGAATGCCAGAGAATCGAGGCTCCCCCTTGCTCCAGTGGTTCGTCCAGCCAAGAGACCGAATGGTACAAGTGAAGCTAACCGGGTCAAGCGTAGGAGATTGGGCATCAGAAATGATGAATGTAGCGGGGTCGGAAGTCCAACTATGAACGTGAGTCAACTGAGATAAGATGACGCTCCCTACCTGACACGGTGGAACGGAAGAAGCGAGCGGGGGAGGGACGCCTCCCATGTGTAAATCACTGAGCGAAAGGGAAGAGGGAGCGGAAGAATAAACGTGTGATTGCCCAGAAGTACTCACCCAATCAAGCTATACAGTTAAGCGCATATTCAGAGACTTTAAAAAGTTTTTGTGAAAGTAAACAAACAGGGAAAAGATGGCGGGGAAGAGGGACAGAGACAAAGAGAAACTTTAAAAAACGAAACCAGAGTCCCCGAGACCGGAAACGACCAGTGAGACGACCAAGGCGATGGCTGAGGTCATGCGCCCTCTACTGGAACAGCTCAATGTCTTTAAAGAGCAGATGTCGGTGGTAACACCGAATATAACAGCGCAGCAAAAGCAGCTTGCAGTTGTAACAACAAGCATCACTGCTCAACAAACGCAAATAACGGACTTGATCCAAGTAATGAAGCAGGATGCGGAGAAAGTAAAGGAAATGGCTGAGACAACGCAGAAAGTGAGGAAGAAAGTGCAAAAATTGGAAAAGAAAACTGTTTCTTTGGAAGATCAGATGCTGCAAGTACAAATGGATAAGGCCAACATAGTCCTGCGCTTCCAAGGGGTGCCAGAGAATAGAGGAGAGAATCTGAAAGAACTGAGATATAAAGGTGGAATTGGTACTCAACGACATAGATGTGGCCTAGAGGTCATATTCAGGATATATAAAGAAAAATAATCTGCCTGGGGAAATTGTAGTAAGGTTCTCGAAGAGGCACATCAGGGATGCTATCCTGAAAGCAGTGGCTGTGACACCCCTGAAGGTGGGGGAGAATGCGGTCAGAACGCTAAAGGATATTCCATTTGAAGTAAGGCAACAGAGAAAGAAATACAAAGAACTTGTGCTCTTCCTCCAAACAAATTCAATTGGATACAAATGGCTATTTCCAGAAGGAGTAGCATTTAAGATCAAAGAGAAGAAGGTTAAGATTGACTCTGTTCTTAAAGCTCAAGAATTTCTAAAGGAGCAGCTGGGAAGGTCAGAGGAAGAGAAAAAAGAAGA